CACATTGGAGGGTTGGGATTAAAATCTTGGGTCAAACGGCTTTGGTTTAAGTCTTAACTCTGGCTTCCTAGGAGCTGTGTGACACCGGCCCACTCTGAGAACCTCTCTGTGTCTTCATTTTCTCATCTGGTGACTAAATGACAGACTCTTAACTCACAGGATCCTGGTGAGGATTAAATGAATTAATATGTGTACACACAGAGAGCAGTGCCTGGCACACAGTGAGTGTTTAAAAATATGCATGTGTCATTTTGCAAAAGAACAAATTTTGGAAGAACATATCCATTCATCTAACAAATATTTACTTAGTAAAATGCTACCAGTGATTACCTCTAGGGCATGGGAATGAGAGAGACAAGGGCAGGAGGACTGAGTCCCTGCTTTATAAGCTGAGGTATTGTTTTAACGTTTTGTTGTTCATGGAAGATCCGCTTTCTAGGGCAGAGGTTCGGAACGGGCCTGAGAGCCAGTCTGTGTATGTGGCATCCTGCATCTGCGTTTACAGTAAACCGTGTGACTTGGGACAAATCTTCAATTCCTCGTGCATCCATTTCTTCACACTTACAGTGGAAATCATAACAGTCCCCGCCTCGTATGGCTATTGTGTGGTTGAAATGAGTCATTACATGCATTTCACTTAGAAAAGCAAGGGTTCCGTGAAGAACAGAAGTGATTGGAAGCTGTAGCAGTAGCAGAGAAGAGGGTAGGGTCAAAATCTGCAGTGTCCTGAAGTTTTCATGGTGTTTGTCTTTAAAATCATTAAAAAAAAAAAAAAAAATTTAGAAAACATGTCCCTGAAAAAAAAATAGCAATTCAAAAAAAATTGTGGCATTTTGTTCTTATTTCCATAATTTCCTATTCTTCCCACAATAGTTTGTAATCCCTTAGCCATGTATAACATTCTTTGTGAGTATCTTATGCAGGTTTTCCTGCTGGTGAAGTTTTTCCACTTTGTATCTAATCTCTTTCTTCGCCTCCTCCACTTCTCTCCCTTCTTCTTCAGTAGAATTCTCTTTGATCTTAAGGGTCTTTTGCTCTCACCTTGTTGAGAGGAATCACAATATCTGGTTTTTTCTGGCCAGATTTGCTTTTCTAAGAAAACCTGATGATTAATAAAGCCATATGCATCAAAATGGGCCCACTAAACATTTCGTCTACTAAGGAACCACTTTATTTTAATCACAGTTGGAGATTCTAAGACAGATTTGGAAACTCATAAAAGAAAGGAAAAGGAAAAAAGCTTCTAATATTGTCTTCAAGGGATTGACAAACTATTAGTAAAATTAAAGAGGCATATAGTCAACAAGGGATATTTCAAATATTTAACCAGGGAATGGCACGGGAAGTCCACAAGTGGATGCCTTCGTGTGGCTGCCTTGCCTGCATTCCCCAGGAACCTCAGCTGTGAGTGTGCACAGGAAACAGGAGAGAGGATTCCCATTTATTTCATTTAATTTTTTTGAGATGGAATCTCACTGTCTCTCAGGCTGGAGTGCAGTGGCACCATCTCAGCTCACTACAACCTCCCCCTCCTGGGTTCAAGCGAGTCTCGTGCCTCAGCCTCCTGAGTAGCTGGGATTACAGGCATGTGGAACAACACCTGGCTAATTTTCCTATTTTTAGTAGAGATCGGGTTTTACCGTGTTGGCCAGGCTGATCACAAACTCATGGCCTCAAGCACTCAGCCTGCCTTGGCCTCCCAAAGTGTTGGGATTACAGGCCTGAGCCTCCGTACTCAGCCGAGAAAGCTCCCATTTATAAAGCTTAACCCACCAATAACTATGTTAGAGGCTTTACCTAATGTTTCATTGAATCACTTAATAACCATACAGTATTACTAGTCTTAATTTTCTGGTGTTGCACAGAGGTTGCCAGAACTTTCGTAACTAACCTGAAGTCTCATGGCTCATAAGCGAAGGGCCAGAACTCAAATTCCAGCTGTCTGGCACCTTGCAAGACCCCCTGGTGTCTTCAGTATATAGCAAACGTTCACTGCCCTGGAAGAAAAATTCAAGGACAGCAAAGAACAATCACAAAACAATTTCTGTATTATGCGATGCTCATTTTCCTCGGAAAAATCTAGCTGAATTGTGTCCATGACGAGATGGATATTTGAAGAGATGATGTGGTTATTAGAACTCACCTCTTTGTCTCTGCAGCAGCAGAGGTTGAAGCAGTCCATGACAACTGAGCAGGTACACAGGGATGCCCCTCTCTCCTGGCTGCACCTCCTTCCTGTCCTGAAAGATGGGTTCCGCTGAGTTCTTGCTTTACTTGCATTCATCCCTCCTGAATGCCACTGTATCCGAGAGTTGTGGGAAAACCCAGATTTCCTTCTCAGCCTTTCTTACCGCTGCCTCTGGAACCCCCCGTCCTCAACTCTCAGTCGTTCCGTTACTGCTCATCAGACACAACTTCCATTCCATCCATCTCACTTTTCTCAAACTGTGCTTTCTTGAGCGCGTCTGTCACTGGTCCTCCCATCCAAAGTGTAACCATTCCGAGTTGTTCCACCCTGTAGACACATGCGTGCGTGCGTTTATCACAGCACCATACACAATAGCAAAGACATGGAATCAACCTAAATGCCCATCATCAGTAGACTGGATTTTTTTTAATGTAGTACGTATACACTATGGAATACTATGCAGCCATAAAAAATGAGGTCATGTCCTTTGCAGCAACATGGATGAAGCTGGAAGCCATTATCCCAAGTAAAGTAACACAAGAACAGAAAACCAAACACTGCCTGTGCTCACTTACAAGTGGCAGCTAAGCATTGAGTACACATGCACATGAAGAAGGGAACAATGTGTACCAGAGCCATACAGGAGGGTGGAGGGTGGGAGGAGGGAGAGGATTGAAAAGCTCCTATTGAAGGCTATGCTTATTACATGGGTGACAAAATAATCTGTACACCAAACCTCCACTACACACGCTGTACCTGTATAACAAACCTGCCCGTATACCCCTAAACCTGAAAGTTAAAAAACAACAACGAAATGTAACTGTTCATCTCAATTAAAGCAGAGTAGAGACACTTGTTCTAGGTCTGCTCTGGGAAAGACACTATGCCACTCTCAAGCCACAACCTTGAGTAGAAGATGAAAGTGTCCCTTCAGGGGTCGGTGCCATCCTGGGAGAGACACAGTGGCGTGCTCTGTGAGGGAATGGGAATGTGTGCAGAGTGCATTGGAAACACTGGGAGTTAGCTTCACAGTGGCTCTTCCCTCTCTTTGGAATGCTGCGCCTTCTCTATACCGCGTGGCAGCTTCGAGTCTTATTCCTCAGGACTCACAAAATGATCTTTTCTTTGCTACCTCTGCATCAACTCAAGCAAAGCTAATCATCTGTACTGCTCCTTCCACTGCAAGTATTTTGTTTAGTTGCTGGCATTGCCAACAAGTGGTTTTCCAGAATAAGAACCACATCTCCAGTCTAAGGCTTGCGGGAAGTACTCAAACACATTCACTGTCTGCAAGACTTGAGCACATGAATGTAAGATTCCTTTTTTGCTGGGTGGGTGAAGAATGTGATTTCCAGGAAGTAGGACCTGACTCTTGAAGAAATTTAGAGTTTGCCTCATTCATAAGCACCTGGACCTTTTCGAGGTTTTCCTGAGAAACACGACACTACATTTTTCTGGGTCTGTATGATCTCTTTACAGCAGGGTTCCCAGCCTCGGCACTATCAGTATCTGAATTCTTTGTCGGGGGCTGTCCTGGGCATTGTAGGATGTTTCCACATTCTCCCCAGGTTGTGACAAGAAAAATGGCTGCCAACATTGCCAGATATTCCCCAGGGCAGAGTCACCCTGGGTTGAAAACCACACTCTATACTCCACAAATGTTAGCTCCCTTTAGGCATGAAAAAGACCTTGCTATAAAGTCAACCAGCCATAGAAAATTATTGAATTGGTTTAACCGTTTTTGAGAAATTGCTGTGGACCAGTCAGGCTATACTGGGTGCTTTATACTAAATTCTATTTAATCCTCAAGTATTATCATCTCCATTTTGTAGACGAGGATATAGGATCAGGCACTCAGGTGATGTGCCCATGTGGCCAAATCTGGTATATTTCCTGGCCCTAACATGCTGTAGCAGGTTGTTAGCTGTTTAATGCATGCCTACCACATTGCTTCTACTCTCTTTGCAAACGTACAGTTGTATCTACATGTATGAGTTGGGCCATGCAAATAGGCTGAAGTTTGAAGGAAAAGCAGACGTGTGGAACATCTCCAGATATAAAAGTAAATACTCTGATAAATACGGACCTTAAAAAAAAGTGATCATGAGCCTAACTTAACTTAATAATTAAAGCATAAATATTAAGCCAAAGGAAATTTTTCACCAGGTATCCTTTCAGTACGTAAACTGATGTATTAGAAATATTTTGTTCACATGACTGTTTTTACTAGATTTTTCATCAGAATTACTTACACAGTTATGTTAGATCGTCTGGTATTTTAAAAGCATTGTTCTTTATCCTCCACTATAAAAGCACAGTATTAAAAACAAATACTAATAAACGCGTCTTTAAAATGTTGAAAAATAATAAGTAAATCTGTTTGCAGTGGAACAGAATCTGGCTGCACTCTTTCCCCGTTTCTCTCAGAAAAGAATAACTTCAGCAAGGAGTCTGCCCTTTCTGGGAGAAGGGGTCATACTAATATTTAACAAGAATGTCTCATGTTTGCTTTTCACTTCACGCCATTTCTCTAGGTATTCTAATGACACAAGGTTTTAGGCTTGAGGGTGCTCATGCAAGTAAACATCAGTCCAGTCTAGGATTTTGTTTTTGAGGAAAAACTGTGTTCTTTCAGCAGCTACTGCTACACAGAAGAGGTCCTGATACAAGTTCTTTTCCAAGCATCCTGCATTTTTGTTGTCAAGGTCCGTATTAATCAAATCAAGTAAAAACCCATGAAAGGCGGGAGGAGGCAGCATGATACATCAATTTTCTACAATAAAAAAAAGAAAAGAAAAAGAAATACTTTCTTTTTTTAAATAGAATTTTATTCCGGTTTTGGCATTTAGAGATGTTTTGTTCCCAATGAGGGCCATTGCTCCATATTAGGTAACATCTTCTCCCCCTTGCAGCTTGAAATGAATACCAAGAGCCAGGTTCACAAGTCGGATTCCCTTTAAAGACACGTTTGATTGCAAAGCTTTGTTGACTCTGTTTGATATCCTCCCTGAACTGCTTGACTGAGCTCAAGTTCCCGGTCACCAACTTGGGGAACCGGCAGCTGCTTCAGCACCTGCTGAGAGAGGTCGTTCTCTGGGTCTGGTTTGCCACCTAGTGGCTTGCCGTGGTCTTTCCATTCACCAAACGGCTTTAAAAGTCATTTTCAGCTGTTGAATGCTCTAACGAATTATGACAGAAAACGGAGCCACTAAGCAAAGAAGGCGGTCAAAGAGACCCACAACCAGCCCTGAAAATGACAAACACTGGATTACAAATAGGGAAGCAGCACTAAATAGTTGGTCTGAGAAAAAAACGCAGGGCTACACGTTGCAAAGGTATTTTGGGTATACTTATTTATTCTGGGTATATTTCCCCGTATGATTAGTTTTAAAAAACAATAATTATAGAGGTAGAATTAATTTAGATGTCTGGAAAATTTTACACATTTTTAATCAGTTCAGCAAGTTGAAAAATCAAGAGCCCACACACACTTTTCCCAAATAGGAACTGCCTGGTTGGCTCACGGGACATAAAATGAATTTGTCTCCTTGGAATTAATTCGTCACAACCAAATGCCTCACATGTATATTGCTTTTGTCAGTGTCTGTAAGCAATTTCACATGTATTTTCACACTGGGTATTTACACATTTTAAATGTTTAAAAGTTACCTATATCTTTTACAGACTTATAACCCCAGGGAAGTTATTTTTTTGCCATAACTAGGGGGAAGAAGGCAAATTCTCTAGAACTAACCTTCAATTTCTCCTAAACTCAGTACTCTCAATTTTTTTTTCACATTTTTTGTTTCACCCTCTTCTTTTTAATGTTAATAAAAGGTGTCAAAATATATACTGTACTGGCTTTCAAACATTAATTATCCAGCACAAAAAAACATTGTACCTCATGACTGTAAACATAATAATATACATGTGTGTATGTTGAACAAATATTTAATGAAATGATATTCATTGTCATTGTGTGGTATGTATTCTGATATATCCTATTCAACTTGCTGTATGTTTTTTTTTCCTTTTTTAATTCTCATATAGTCCACTTAGCTCTTGCATTTTGAGCTGAGCATGTGTGTATATATATACATATATATCTATTGAATTTAGTGTTTGTGTGTATATATACCCGTATAGATAGACATAGACACTAAGTTCAAAATGCAACAGCCAATTAATTAGTGGACCAATTAGTGTGTGTGTGTGTGTATGTGTGTTTATGTGTGTGTGTGTGTATGTGTGTGTGTGTGTATGTGTGTTTGTGTGTGTATAGTAAGTGCATGTATATATATAGTATATATAGTAAGTTCAACATGCAATGTATATGAACACTAAGTGTATATGTATACTAAGTACACAGTATATATACACTACATAGGTATGCTAAGTAGATCGTCTATATACACTAAGAATATATACACACATGGAGATGTAACTACCCCACAGAGGCACTCATAGTACTCACGGGCAGGATTCCACTTCTTACCTGAAGTCTGGTGCCTGGAACGCTTCAGTTACCATTCCCCAAATGTTCCACCCACAATCTGGCAGGGAGAAAGCCTGCTGTGGACCCCAGAGAGGAACCAGGAGTCTGCCCCTGCTCTGCACCTACCTGACCGTGCCCTGAGCCCTCATGCTGGCTGCATTCCTAGAACCCCTGCCTGGGATTACTTATAAAGTGGAAAGGTCACGGGGCTGACAATAATCTCTGTTCCCATCCCCTGTTTCTTCCTGAGCATTAAAAGGAAAGACTTCCTGTAGTTCTCCTCATCAATATCATTCCATTCAATGAGTGTAGACTATGAACTCCTTTGGCTGAAAATATCCTAACGCTACGGAATATAGGCTGTTGAGTCAGGATGAGGAAGGAATATTAAACATAGGAATGATACCCTCTACTCAGAAAATCACCATAAACTGAGGGCTCTTAGCCCAGGACTGTCACTGTTTCATTTGGGTCTGACCTAGAGCCCTGATTCTCAGGAAGTTACATATTACCTGTGAAATAATAGATACACCTGAAGTAAAACATTTGGCGATGCTCATTTCTAATAAATATTTGTAGATATTCTCTTTTTTTGAAGTCCTTATGACCTGCTGATCAGTTTCTCCAAATGTCATCCTGTGTACCAACGGGACCTCCACTGCTGAGCCTCCAGAGAACAGTCCTTCTAATGAGGGGACTCTGGCACAGTGGCCCAAAGGCCTGGAAGATTATAGAAAATGTCTGAAGGAAAGTGGGGTAGGTGGGAGGGATCTTGTTTCCTGGCCCCATAGGGACACTGCCTTTCTTGATAAAGCTGGGTGCAGCCTTAATGTGAATAGATTGGGGAGCACCAGGAATGTACCTCGCCTGGGCTAAAGGCACGGCAGATGCTGAATGTCCCCTTGGAGAAACGAAGGCAAGAAAGGCCCCCTACAGCAATGAGGAGAGAAAATCCACAACCCAGAGGAGAACTGGGATTTCTGATGTGTGAGATAGGACACTAGGCATTTACATATAACATATGTACAATATTTTTAATCCCTCATATCCAGACGAGCAAGATAAGTCGTTTCATTTTTGTATAACTTGCCTCGAAGCTGCCTGTTGAGGCCCCATTCTGCCTAACAAATCACCACCAACCTAACAGCTTACAACAAAGTTCCCTGTTCAGAGTCTCACAGCACTGAACTCAAGGTATCCGCCCAGCTGAGTTCACGTCTCGGGTGAGACTAAGGAAGAATTCATTACCACAGGCATTCAAGTAATTGGTGCTTCTGCCATTGTGACCCAGTGATCTCGAGTAGCTGCCACCTCTGGGCACCAGACAGGAGTGAATGAGGCACACATCTTCTTTGAATCCAATCAATCTTATCAGATGCGACTTTGTTTTTTTCCAACCTTCTCCCCATTCAAAAGCAACATGAGAGTGGAGGGCAAGATTCTAAACCCTCTTTGGTGACCATCACCAGTATCTTCCCCTTTTAACTCTCTCTTTTTTTTTTTTTTTTTCCCATTAAGACGGGGTTTCACCATGTTGGTCAGGCTGGTCTTGAACTCCCAACCTCAGGTGATCCGCCCGCTTTGGCCTCCAAAGTGCTTGGATTGCAAGCATGAGCCACCATGCCCAGCCAACTCTCTTCTTCACTTCCCTCTGGCTTTGGAAACTTTTGGATTTTCTTTTTTTCTCGTTTAGGACATTACAGATTGGGCTAAACTCTTCTTTGTCTATCATCCTCAATCCTAATTATGTTTCTCCTCCAAAATAACATTGCTAATATATGATTTGCATAGTATATACTATGTATTAAGTATATGCGTATACTATGTACTAAGTATACTTATATACTTACACTATACATATACTACGAACTAAGTATATAAGTATGTAAGTATACTTAGTACGTAGTATATGTATATATACTTAGTACATAGTATATGTATAGTATATGTACTAAGTATATATGTATACTTAGAACATAGTATATAGTATTCCAATATAGTTTAAGTATATAGTATACCTATATACATATGTACTTAGTATATATGTATATAATGTATACGTGTGCACATCTTTTAGTATATAGACATGTACAATCTTTAGTATATTGCTGTTTGTATAGACATACACAATGCATATACACAATGTGTATGTCTATACACCCTTAACATATAGACATCTACAATCTTTAGCATATTATTGCTGGGTTTTATTGTAACCTAAATTTTATCATGTTGCATTTATCATCCCACAACTTGCCTTTCTTACTTAACAAAGTATCTTTAGAAGATTCAAAGTTAATATATATCAAGTTGATTGGCTTTATCTGCTGCAATAATATTCCCTTTTAGTAATGACCTCCTTTTTTTAATTCATTTCAAAACAAATGGTCTTTTACATTTTCCTCATTTCTGTCATAAAAATAAATGCCTTAGTGAATAGCCTTGTGCATGTTTCCTCGTATACATACCGATGCCATAATTTCTGGTGGGTAGATACCTCGCGGTTGGATTGCTAGCTCCTGTTGTACAAATCTTTTCAGTTTTATTTAATACCTCCAAGTCACCTTTTTGTGGCACTCATACCGATTTATTTACTCTGGATGTGGCAAGGGGAGATTTTTCTTATTTTCACAGTGTGTAGGTCATTGATGCTTTTGAGCATTGATGCTCAAAAGACCAAGTATTTGCAGTTTAAAAGACCTCATCTTTAAATCCCTTCTCTCTACCAGAGTATTTAAAATCTACTTTAAAAAGAAAAAAAATGAGGAAACACTAGTTTCTTCTCCTTGTGTTTTTACAGCAGCAACACAACCCTGAGAACACAAAAAGTTGGCATTGGGAGAAGGGAGGCTTGATGTCCATTAATACTCTGAAGTATTAAGCAGCCTCCAACACCATAATGCTGCTTACCTTCTCCATAATATACGGATCGGGTAATAGTATTCTAGTTTTATAGATGAGGAAAGGTCATCTCAGAGTAGTCAAGTAATTTGCTAAGTTTATACATCTCCTGGGGCTAACCCAGAACTCAAACCCAAATCAGCAAGACTTGAAGTTGAAAAGACCACAGCTTTTCAACTCTGCTTTGCTGCTTTCTAATAAAAATTCATTAGTGATGATGAGAACATCATGTTTATTAATAGAGTGGTATTAATGTATCTCATCACATCATAACCTCAAATGAGTGTTCGCAGTTTCCTAGACATTTTTGTCTTCGTAGCTACAAATCACAATGGGTTTTAATAGTGTGCTTTGCTCATAATTTCTGCTTCCCATTAACAAGTCTTTATTTTCCTCAAAGTTACATTATATTATATTCGTATACCACATTCCCTTATTTCTCATTGCTTTAATAGCTGAGATTATTAGAAGGAAACCCAAGTGTAGCATTAGAACTGCCATGGTTATCAACTCTGAACTCATTAACTTATTAACTCTTGTCCTTTGGATGTTGTATCATATGGGTAAGCAGATGCCTCCAAGTCATTTAACAGTTCTTGTCTAGCTTTAAAATTTTTGTTCATCTCATACTGAACATCTGTTGCATGACAGAAAGAGACTAGAGCACTTTTAAATAACAAAAAGCACAAAATTTCACAAAGGCATTAGATATTGAATTAGTGTCAAAGTATAAGAAGAATGATGGCCGACGGTGGATATGCCAAAGTGTACAGGTCAAAGATAAACAGGTGTTTAACCCAGTAGAGAAAGCTAAATTCATCTATAGCTGTCTTTCCTCAGTTCTGGCTTCCTTCATTTTCTGTATTCAAACAAAGCATAACTGGATTAGAATACTCTTCATTTCAGGGTGGGCTCTACAGATTCACAGGCTGAAATGAACTAAAAGAAAACAATGGACCCCTTAGGCTAATTTCAAAAACTCTCACTTATATTCTTCAATAATATAGATCCACTGAGCAAATTAAATAGCTGTCAAATGTATACAAACATAATGTGATTATCCACGGGGAGTAATTTGATATTCCCTAAGTAACTGTGCTTTTTCAAATATTTTATTCTTATTCCATCTCTTACCTAGGAGTGAATTTATAAAATGCAGAGGCTGTGCACTCCCTGAATTCCCCAGCACCAATCACCATCATCTAAGACTAGCAGTGGTTAAATGAGCATGTGTCGGTATTGACAATGATGAACACCTTTCCCATTGCAGGTGTATTTCATTCCAGAAAGTATCTCTGGTAGCCCAGACAACAAAGGAAAGGCAAGGTCAAGGAGATGGTGTTGACCTCTTGAGTGGCTAAATTCACGTTTCAAAGATCACCGTCACCAAGCTCTCTCTGTTTCCCATACTCCCTCTCATCTCTCTCCTTCCTCCATACCTTCCCTCCAGGTTTGCTGGCTCTAAGTTTTCCATGTGGCGACAAATACGGTGATCAGCACCCAGCAGTTCCAAATATGAGAGATTTACTCTCTCATTCCAGCACCCTCATTAAACCCCCAAATCAACCCTCCTGCCTGGGTCTTCTTCATGTGCATTGTTACGGTAGAGGAGCCAGGACCATCTGATCGATGCCTATCCCAGACTATATAACTATGGGTGACAGGCTATTTCCAAAAAGACAGCTGAAAGAAAGACAAATAATAGATACCCACTGCGTGGCTTGAACCAACAAAGATGAAAAAGGAAGTATCGTCAGCACAAGTATGAATAAAGCATTGGGATGATTGGGCATGACGTTTATTTATAATAAAACCAGGATGGCAGCCGGACACGGTGGCTCACGCCTGTAATCCCAGAACTTCTTGGGAGGCCGAGGCAGGTGGATCGCCTGAGGTCGGGAGATAGAGACCAGCCTGACCAACAAGGAGAAACTTCGTCTCCTAAAAATGCAAAAGTTAGCTGGGCATGGTGGCACATACCTGTAATCCCAGCTACTCGTGAGGCTGAGGCAGGAGAATCCCTTGAACCCAGGAGACGGAGGCTGCAGTGAGCTTAGATCGTGCCACTGCACTCCAGCCTGGGCAACAAGAGCAAAACTCCATGAAAAAAAAAAAAAAAAAAAAAAAAACAGCATGTCATAAGACCCAAAAATGGTACTAAAGGACATGATCAAC